TTCCTGGAATCTACACTCACATGTTGACGGCTTCAAGTAAGGATGCATGTATTTGGCCCTGTGCATTCATTCCGTATCTTACCAGCTGCTTTTAAGATTTCACTCTGAAGGGTTTGCATCCTCAGCCAAGAGAACAAAGTGGACACATATAGACTCCCTCTGTGGCCTGTTCTGGATGCATAAGGCAACCATTTGGAAGGGAGAGCAGGCCAGAGAGGTGGTACCGCCAGATGCCCTGCTGAGAAGTGTGAGTGCAGGGAAGGTGTTGGCCTGGGAGGTGGAGGCATGGCATGGAACCAGAGAAGCTCAGGCCAATGTCTCCACATGTCTGGGCTCTGGTTTCTTCTCCAGCAAGACTGAAAGGCTGCACCAGATTTGAGCTGAGTATGTGATGGTCAAGAATTGCTCCAGTCCATTCTGATGACCTCCTTTCCTCCAGAAATCTGCCAGACGGGCTATCCTGGCAGGAAAGCTGGGCCAATCACTTTGCAGTCCCCGGCCCCATACTCACCCACCTAGAACCAGGTTGGGACAAATATCAAGGGCAGCTCTGGAAGGGGAAAGATCACAGGTGGCAGAAGGCAATGAGGGTGGGTGTGGGCGTGGCTGTGGTGGGCAGTGTGTCAGGAGGGTCTGTCCCACCCTCCTAGCTCTGGCAGAATTATACACATACGAGGCACAAGTGTTTTTCTAGCCCCAGCCTGGGAACTGTCTGCATCTCCCAGCAGCCTGTCCTGTACCTTTCTTTTCTTAGCTGTGCAGCAGAAAGGGCTCTAAAAGCTGAGGTCTGAGACAATGGCTTGATGACTGGGCTTTGGGGCCAGTTTGGTCATGAGCTTCCCTTGGAGCCACTCCCGTTTTCAGGAGAAAGAGCCTCAGTGGGCCCCTGGGGAAGCGTGGCGCCCAGCCCTGGGAAAGGGGAGGCCTAGAGGAGTGAACCCAGGCCCTGAGGAGCGGCAGGCAGAAGTGGCTTTGCTGAAGCCAAAGCTATGGGCTCCTTTCTCCACCTCAACTGCACAACAGCATGGGGTGGTGCCCAGCTCCTCCAGGCACTGATTGTACCCTTCCCTAAGTAGCAGATAGCAAGGAGTGAAAGCCAGGCTTCTCCCTTCAGGAATCAAGCCTTTTTGCAGGTGGGGAGGGGGTGACAGTCATTAACCTCTTTCAGAACTATTGGAAACTGTGGGCCTTCTTCCCTCAATAATGTGCATCCTCCACATTCTGCAGCCTCTCGGGAGGACTCATGTGCCTCTCCACGGGACCCCAGGGACAGTGCTCCCCAGTGTATGTTCCCTGTTCCACCTGCAGTGAGATCCCCTTCAGGGAAGGTGGCTGTTAGAACGCAGTTATTAGGGTCCCATACTGGATCTGCAGAATCAGAATCTTTCAGTTGGGGGAACCTTGGAATCTGCCCCGAGATTTTCCTTGAGAACAAACTCCTCATGTGAGAGAAGCCCCCAGAGCAGGATCCTTATAACAAGAACCCCAGCTGGCCCTGATGTCGGAGGAAAGTTTTGGGATTAAGAGAGGGCCAAGGGCAGGCTGGCTGATCTCCCTATGCTGGGCTGGAAGAGCATGGGATTGGGAGCCAGGAGTTTTGTGTTCTGGGCCCGGCACTTCCTTGAGCCATGTCAATGATTCAACTCCTGAGGCCTCCCGCTGTTCTTTGCCTCATTGAGGGGACGGAAAGACTGGTGGGTAAGGTTTGTCCACTGGCCTCCGTTTCGCATTTATTGGTGTGGTAGTGTGGCCTCAGAGCAGGCCCAGGGAAGGATCTTTGGGCTTCAAAGCAGCGTATCCACCCACACCGTTGGTTGCCAGGTGGTTTTACCTGGAGGTTTTTAAAATTTCTTTCATTGCAGTGGCTTGGCTTCTCATTTCTGAAGGTTTAAAAAATATGTACATGTGGCCAGGTGCGGTGGCTCGTGCCTGTAATCCCAGCACTTTGGGGGGCTGAGGCAGGT